AACGCGCATAGCGCATTCCGTGTTCCAGAGTCCTTTCTATGGTATGTTCAGAAAGAGTAGGCACGCAATGCGAGTACTGCGAACACCTGCAAATAGCAGAATTTCAAGCACTTTCCGTAGCATGGAGGACACGTCCGGGCCTCAGCAGGTAGTGTAACCACCGAAATCGCACCATTGCAACTGAACCCGCCAGCAGGGTCTAGGGTTGGATGAAGGGTTCAGTCTGTCATAGCAGTTGACTTGTTGGGGTTATGGAGTGACTCGGCATAATCTAGAGGGGGTTATAGGGCCCTATAGTTGATGGAGCTCAGAAAGGCCATGGGGGCACAGCAAACACCCAACCGCTTTTCGGACACCTGCTTACATTTCCCCAAAACATGAAGGTCTAGTCAGTGCAAGTTATGTTGGCTACACCGAAAGCACTGCAACCTTCAGAACTGTTCCTGTGCTGGGAAGTTATACAACTTCCAAACAGTGCTGACTTTGGGAGAGGGACGGAGGGACAGGCACCTGGGTACCCCTTTCGTGGGTATCGAAGCACCTACGGAAAATCCCAAACCTCAAGTCCAAACTGTGAGTTCTATCCTCATTATTCTGTAAACCCTAAACCCTAATGCCTTTCTCCCTTGCAAAACACGGACAAACACGAATAGAAACCGTTGCCGCCTTCGACAGCCCGTATTGCCTCAGCTGCTTGTGCTTGTCTGTGTTGCTGCTAGGGAACTTAATACATGGAAGTTGTAGACATGTAGAATGGACGCTTATGAGACTGCTCTGCACTGCAAGTATGGGAATGTCGATTTTCAGTTCGACTTCTACAACATAATTCACGTTCCATTGACAGCAAGCCAAGTTTCGATTCAAAAACAGGCGGTGCATGTACTGGGTACTGAAGATCCGTCCAACCAGGCACGTGGAACTCTTACAAGATACTCTCTGAGCCAATGCCGCAAAAGTTCCTGGTAGAGAGGCCGCATGCTGCACCCCAGACTGCCTAACTTTTATATACTCTTCTTGGCTTGCTTCGCTGTGGTGGTTCTTGGTGTTTTGAGTGCAGAAACTTTTTTGTCAAGCTGGGCGTGGACGAGCCGTGTATTCCTTGCCGGCAAGAACAACAACTACATGAGCCCTGGATGGAATATGTTATCTACGGCACCCCTAAATTTGCATGTAAATATCAAGCGCAGCTCTTCTGATATGTATACATATATCTATCTATCTATCTATCTATCTATCTATCTATATATATATATATGATGTGTTGGTGAAAGTCTTAGAAGCCCCGCCCAAGTTGTGGAGGAGCACACGGAGAATATCCTAAGTTGCGATTCGCCTGTATGAGGGCCTGTGAGCATAAAGGAATCCAAATTACACGGGAATGTCTCTCTAGATTCCTAAGCCATAAATCGACGGCCAAAGGCAAGAAGGGCAGTTCAAGTACCAGCCTTTCAACTGCATGCCACAGAGAACCCGCTGATGGCTGGGCGATTCTGACTCGTTCCGACGCCAACTGTCCAGGACAACCAGCCAAGAATCGTACCGAAAACCATTCCAATGGCTTGACCACTCTTTAACCATGCGAAGCCGGCACCGACCTACCCGAGGCCTCTACCAATGCCCAAGTCCACATTTGACACCGTATCGGCCAAATTGCAAGGGCAAGCAATCTGACCAGTCCGCATCAATAAGCTTCGTGTTGTACCTGAACTCTGATCGGAACGCAAGCAGCATCCAATAACATAGTACAAGGAGTCGTGAGCGAATGAGCTATGACCTGCAGGGTCCAGTAAGACTCCCCAAGAGTTGTGGCTTTAGGTCCTGCATACATTGGCAATTCAAGCACGCCTACCTTGAACGGCCTATAGCAAATGGTGCCAACACAAAGATCAGAGGTCCTGAAATTCCCTAGTAACCCTAATTAAAGTACGTAGGAGAGGAGGAGGAGGAGGAGGAGGAAACGCAAACGGCGGTAGCCGTCGCCGCCCGCCCGGCATTGCAGAGCAGCTCTGGAGCCGTCATTTCCGCTCTCTGCGGAAGGTTCGAGTGAGGACTTACCCTGACAACCCAAACCTACTTTTTTGTAGGCTCTTACTATAAATACTCTTACAGTATTCTTAGGTAACCTACAAGAATGGAGGTTTTGGGTTGTTCAAGGTACTAGATGAGTGCAGCCAGGTGGCAAAAGAAACGGCGAAAGCGCAAGGTGGAGAGGGCGAGGGGACGATAGGGAACGGACCGGGCTGAAGGGAGGAGGGTGAGCGGGACATGGCAAGGCGAAGAAGGAGGAATGGGGAGGAGAAAGAAGTGGGATGGGAGAGGAGGGGAGGAAGGAAAAGGAGACTGCAGAGTGCAAAGGAGACAGTGTAAGAAGGAATTTGTTGCGGCGAAGTGCAGGGCAGCCGAGTGTGGGTGCGCCACAGCTCAAGCGCAGTCGACAGCATACTGCTGCCAAGTCAAGTCAGGTAGTTGTGCCGTTTTGCCATGGGCTTGCCCAGGGAGTAACAGAATTTTGCATGCTGCCGCCATACCATGCTGACCCTCGAAAAACAACGCAATTTGTGGACTGGGTTCGAGACTAAACACAAAACCCTCAACCTCACGAATGAGGCTACTAGCCGTAACTATGCAGGCGCCGCTGAAGGCTTTACATGAATGGCAGCAGGGGTGGGTGTTCAGCGAGAATCGAAGTTCAATCAAAGACGTTTCGGGCAACATTGGGCCAGGGCTGTACTTTTACGGATTTAGAGGGTGGCGTGCAGTCTAGAAGTCAAGAGATTGGTGGCAAGCGAGGCACCAGAGTTGTGGAATTCAGGGGTCCTCCCTCTCACCGCAAATCGTGGATCCGGGGAGAGGGAGATAGAAGTTCGAGAATTTTGGAACCCTCAACCCCCAATCCCAACCTCTTAAACCCTGAACATCCTAAACCCTATAAACCCTAAATCCTGAACCTGAATACCAAACATTGGGTAAGCGAAACCTCATGTTGGGACCAGAGTGCGAGACTCGGTCATCTGTTTCTTCATACGTGGGCAGCGTCTTTGCTTTGATCTCCTCGCGGAGCCCGCCAATTTACTCACGAGCCCTAGGCAAACCCAAATCTTACACTGCAGTCCTTCAGCATGGCACCTTCAGGTGACTATATTCACTCCCGCCAATACTTATCAATGGCCCCTCGCCACCCTTAGGTTTTTCTGTCAGGGTCATGATAGACGGTCTGGAAGCCTGTGAGCACAAACCCGAAAGCACCCACAAGAAAGCTCGACAACATTATGTTTGCATGGCTGCACAAGGAATGAGGGGATCATGAGGCAGCAAAGCTCGTCATGTACTCCCTTCAGTTTCAACTCGCCCCCGCAAAAAGAAACTACTGTATATATCTTGCCCTGAAGCTAAAGCAAGCAAGCATTGGGGTATCACCTGATAGTGCTGGCAGTTAACACAAAACGGAAAAAGGGACATCTACAGCAAACATTCATCCATCAATAGATATGGAAAGTCTTCCCCAGGAGCTGAAACGGCAGACTCACGGACCTTCAGCTGAAGTGTTCATGGGCTTGCTTTGCGTGGCTGCACACAATCGCAGTATATCAGCGTGTCTAGCGGGGGAGCCCGTCTCCTTGAAGCGGCTGAGAAGACTTTCAGAGCTCGAGGATGACCAGGGCGCTTGAGCGATTTCGAAGACTTTGGCGGCTGCTGCGGCGGTGTCCTTGAGGCTATCCTGCGAAAACCTGAGATTGCTGGGTTTAATTAGGGTTTAGGGCCTAGGGTGTAGGGTTTCCGGTGCCCTAAACCCTGGGGTTTAGATAGGATTTAGACTTAAATCCTAAGGTCTAGTCTTGAGGCCTAAACCCTGAACTCCAGACAATGAACTGTGGTTTGCAAGTTTCTGTTTGACGGGAGTTGAGGTTGTTTTGAAGGCTGCGCAGCCAGATCCCAGTACCTTTGCGGGCCTTAATGACGCGAGTGCAACCCTAAACCCTTAGGGAGTGCACAGGGATGTTAATGGCAATGCATAGGTTGAAGGGTTTTTGGTGCACTTCGTGTCGGCTGGCTAATTTTTAAAACCACGTTTTTTTCGCGCACGGGCGCGCCGATTCCAGAATTTGGCAATCCTTTCTTTGGTGCTCTCTCTTTTGCCTTTGCAGAGTTCGAACTGGCTTCTGGAAGGCCGATGGGGTTTTTGAGGATACCGCATGCGACCCTATCCGCAGTTAACATACCTCACGCACTCCCTTAGGTTCATAGGGCTTAGGGTCCTTCACAATTAGAATAGGGTTTTGGGGTCCATTCAACGAACATAACAAAGCACCCAAGGAATGATATTGGTAATTCTTCAGACATCCACAGTATAGTATAGGGGAACGAAGCAATCCTGGGCCCTTGACGAGATTTGTAGAAATCTTATGGAAGGCCTGTCCCGCCTCCCATTGTTTGAGGCGGGAGGTGCCCTACACTACACCAGGTCCAAGATTGACGGCGATAGAAGCTCTGCTAACAAAGCGCAAGGCACTTCAGGTAGTATTGGCTCGGTTTTGCGGCGGCATTTTGTGCATCGCCATCTTCGTCTTCTCGGACTGAACGGTGATCTTTGGCGCTCAGGAACTCGTCTTCTTCTTCTTCTTCTAGTAGCGGGTGTAGTGAGTAGTCTTCGTAGTTTTCTTCTGATTCTAGCGAGTGTAGTGAGTAGTCCGAGTCGTGAAGCACTGCTTCATCATGCTTGGCTTGACCTTCAACGCGGATCATGTCGTTCTTCTTCTCATTGGCGATGTTCTCTTGCCCTGTTTTGCCTGAAGTCCCATGGTTTCCGATAGGGATTGCCTGGGTTGATCCAAAGCTCAAACAAAGCTAAGCTATGACATCATGTAAGCTGGTTTGAAAGTTTTAACCCGACGCCAGCATGAGCTCGAAAGCTTGCTAAACGCCAAATCCCGAGGGTGAAGTAACACCCTCCACATCCCCCAAAGCAAAGGCCGTTGCAGAGCGAGAAGTCGATGCAGACGGCGACGGTAAGAAGGTTCATAGGAGAACGCCGCACCACCATAGGTGTAGCCGCACAGGATACAATGACCAACATGGAGTAGGAGGTGACGAGAAAGGCCATGAAAAGGCCGCTGTCAAAGAACAGCGCCACGAAGTGAGCAGCCGCAGCTGCGCCCCAAGGGAGTTCCCGCAGGAACGCCGCCCCCGTAGGCTGCCTGCGTGCGCGCCCCGGCGCTGGCCACCGAAACACCTAGCGCTCACGACCCGGGGGAAGCCGTCGCCCGGTGAGCTGAGCTCAAACCGAGCTCCCTGAAGCAGGCCACCACGACACCCACTCTTACGATGCAGGTCTCACCGTCTGGAGTGATTTATTCCAGGTTGATTCCCGCCGCTGCTCCATACAGCGGCCCCTCCCCGGAGAGGGTCATGTAAGCTGGTACTGGTAGGAAAATTGGTTTCCTGTCCGCTTTATGGGCGCTTCTCAATGTAGTTGGGACGGACGAGCTAAGCTCGTGCCATCGATGGGTAAGAATTGAGGTGAGAATCACACATGAAGAATTGCGATCTCCTCACTGAAAAGGTGATAGCTGAAAGCCGGAGTTCCGGTGATCCTGAACCCTAAGCCCTAAACCCAAACCCCTAAAGCCAAGACCAAAATCCTGCACCCTAAACCCTGAACCCTCTTTCATGCTGCCACTCGGTTGCTCCCACGATTGCACTGGTCAGCTCCAAAGCCAACTGCGTGATTTGCAGCCTTCTCTCCGGCAGGAAGTTCAGGGCTTGAGCTCTAGGGTTTAAGGTTCAGTCTTTGGGGTTTACGGTTTAGGGATTAGTGTTTGTATAATTCGAGGCCGGTTTTGAGGAACATCTACTGAAGAACGTCTAAAAGACATGCTAGTGCCCCCAAGCTTTACACGCCCACTCTATAACCCTAAATCTAAACCCTAAACCCTAAATAACAAACCCTATAAACCCTACACCCTAAACCCCAAATCTAAACCCTATAAACCCTCAACCCAAACCCTAAAAACCCTACACGCTAAACCCTAAATCTAAACCCTAAAAACCCTACACGCTAAACCCCTAAGGTTTAAATCTAAACCCTAACCCCCAAATCTAAACCCTATGACTTGGGCTGTTGTCATCTTCCCTTTGGCTTCGGGAGCCGTGCGGTTCGTTTGCCGAAGGGCGCTCGCTGCTTCTTGGCGATGTCTTGTGCTTCCTGCGCAAGACGAACTTCCATCCTCTGGTCCCATTCGGTTAAGGTTTAGGGTGAGGCATCAAAAAAAAACTAAATAGACATCAAAAAAACTAGACCGGAGAATCA